CGAAGCTGCTGTTGGCGACCAGGGCGGAGATCTCCTCGGCGTAGGCCTGGGCGCCCTGGTCCTCCTGGGCGCAGAGCCGCTGGCGCAGGTGCACGGGCATGGGGTGCACGTGGTAGTGCGGGAGCCTAACATGCTGCAGCAGGTGCGTCTGCAGGCCCTGGAAGTTGGACTCGGGGTCCCAGAGCGGCACGCAGCGCTCGTCCACCAGCCACAGGTGCGTGTGGGCCCAGGGGAAGGCGTAGTGGCCCATGGCCAGCTGCTGGAACAGGGCCACGGGGCTGGAGCCGCCCGAGAGCGCCAGGTGGAACTGGCCAGAGCGCCGCACGGCCTTCATGGCGGCCGCCTCGATGTCGTCGGCCAGCTTTGCGATCAGCTCCTCAGGCCAGGCCGTGACCAGCGGGCGATCTCGGTACGTGGACCTGAGAACCTGGAAGTCGCTGGGCGCGGGAGCAGAGCCGGGCCCCGGCACCAGCTGCTCCGGCTGCTGCACCGAGAAGGACAACTGGCCGCCACTGAACTCAAAGTCCAGCAGGTGCCCGTTCTCCGCCCCTCCGGGGTAGAGGCGGGGGGCCTCGTGGGCCAGGCTGTCCAGCAGGGGCGTCCAGAAGGCCCAGGAGGCCAGCAAGTTCTCCGTGGTGATGAAGGAGTCCTTGCGGCCGTGGAAGATGCGGGATATGAGGACGGAGTAGGCGTCCTGCTCCCGCACAGGACTGTAGGCATAGAAATCAGACAGTGGGCGGCCGAAAAGGTGGAGCCCGGGCGGGCCCCCCACCTCCTCCCAGCTGCCGGGCAGCGTGGGCCTGAACAGGTTCCGGCTCACCAGCACCGCGGGGCTGCCCAGCGCGCCGTGCCCGATGTAGAAGATGATCTGGCGCGGCAGACACGCACTCTGCTCCGCGACCCAGTGCTGCTCGCTCTGCGCACAACACGCCCGGTTCTTGAACAAGACCCGGACGTAGCCCATTCTCTCGTCCAAGGCTTTGCCCGACATCAGGAGAAAAGGGACGCCCTCCCAGCGAAGGTTGTCCAGGTGAACGAGGATGCCTGCGGGGACAGGGACGGGGGAGGTGACACTCCAGCACGGGAAACGGACTTCCCACCCACCCGCCTCCCCTTCCTGCCTCCCTGCCAGTAGCCCTCTCCCCCAGCCCCTCCTCTGGGCACCCACGGCGTTGCTAGGCTCACCCCCCACCTTTCACCCCTCCCATGATCTTCCCTCCAGCAGTGCTCAAAAAGCAGCCTTGCCAGGCCAGTGTGGCTCAGTGGTTGAGCATCAACCTCTGAACCAGAAGGTTACAGTTCAATTCCCAGTCAAGTGCACATGCCCGGGTTATGGGCTCAATCCCCACTGTGGGGCATGCAGGAAGCAGCCAACTGATGATTCCCTTTCATCACTGATGTTTCTCTCTCTCCCCCTCTCTCTTCCTCTCTGAAATCAATAAAAATATATTTATAAAGAAAGAAAGAAAAGCAGCCCTAGCCAGTTGGGCTCAGTGGATAGAGTGTCAGCCTGCGGACTGAAGGGTCCCGGGTTCAATTCTGGTTAAAGGCACATGCCTCAGTTACAGGCTCGATCCTTGGGGCTGACCGGGGCCTGTGCGGGAGGCAACCAATCGTGTCTCTCTCACAGCAACATTTCTCTCTGTCTCTCCCCCTCCCTTCTACTCTCTCTAAAAATCAGTGGAAACACATGCTCAGGTGAGGATTAACCAAAAAAGAAAAAGAGAGAGAGAAAAACAGCCTCAGGACCATCGCAGACGCCGCCTCTCTAGACTCACCGTCCCCGAGGAAGGGGAACTGGGCTGAGGTCGGACCCAGAGCCGCTGAGAAAAGTCCCAGGATGGGGTGCTGGCTACTGGGGCGGCGGGGGGAGGGGGGTGCTCAGGCATGCCTGAGCAAGGTCAGGTACAGAAGGGAGGGTGGTGTGCCAGTAAGGAGGAC